CCCCAAAACCCCAAAACCCCAAAACCCCAAAACCCCAAAACCCCAAAACCCCAAAACCCCTAAAAAATTAAGGTTAATTGAAATTTTTGCAGCATTTAAAACTTCATTTCTGTGTCTCTAATGAAGAAGGCTCCTCCCACCTTCTCCAGAACTGCGTCAATGTGTACGTTGAACTTCATTAGTGTTGAAGCGTATTTTCTAAGCTTGCTGTGGCCAGATGGTGTCTGAGCTGAACTGGGGTCGACTCCAGGGAAGAACTCTTTGCCCAGGTCTCCGTGAGAGTACAGGTAGATCTTGTACAGATTATCGTTGAGTGCAGTCGATGGGTCTTTGATTAGAAATTGGACCTAAGCGTTAACCTACACACTTACTTTATACACAGGCTTGCTCCTGGGTGCTCCCTTCGGAGTGTACTCTTCAACGTAGTCTTCGACTCTGTCTGGAGTGATCTTCAAGATCGAGAATCTGGCTCTGAACACCGCATCTTTGTCAGTGACATCTTCGAAGATCTCGCTCAGTTCAGTCAGTGGCAGCTCTGAGTAGTCTCCGAATGTGGTTGTAGCCAGCACAGGCTCGGTCAGGATCACTTTCTTGATGAGTTCTTTGTCGACTTTGTCTGGACTAAGAGAAATCTGTGAGTCCAGACTCTTGGCCAGACGAGAGAATGGCACGAAAGTCATGATGTTGGAGTGAGGCGCCAGTTCAAGACACCTTTCTCTTTCGGTTTCGCTGTCAATGTTGACAGACCTAATCTTGATGATGACACCTTCATAGAGTCGAGGGAACTTCCTCCTTGACACAGTCAAGAACCAGGTTGCCTTAGAAGTGTCCTTCACTCTGAGGTCGGAAGTGTAGTAGTCTCTGTGGACGATCTGGGTGACTTTACCGACAACGTTGAAGTCTCCTTCTTCTTGGCGAGCCTGACTCAGTGGAGTGTACATTTCATCGATGATGACATCGTTCTTGGCGAAGTAGCTTTTGTTCCAGGCCCTGGTGTTCTTCAGCAGTTTCTGGTCCTGAGTGTCGAAGTTGTACTGCTTTCCAGAATAAGCGTAAGATCTGTATGTGAAGTCATCGCCTTCATCTTTGATGACTTCGGGTGCCACTTCTTCGTCCGCACTGAACAAAGCCCAAGATGATGAATAAGACATGTTGAGTTTGAAATAGTGCTGGTCGTCTTTGTAGTTGTATTCAGCTCTGTGCACTCTGATGATGTCTCCACACCGCTGGATGATCGGGAGATCTTCGAATTTCCTGGACTGCAACGCCACTATGGCAAAGTTGTCATCGCCTTCTTTAACGTTGTGGGTAGTGTCGATCACTTTTAAATAGCACATGTACTTTTTCTCGTCAACTTTGTATGGGAAGCAGGCATCAATGACTACCGCGTAAAAGTTAATGGAGGCTTCATTCTCTTCTTCGATGCTTCCGATTTCAGTGTATTCGTACTACAAAACACATGTGAGTAATGAAGACAATGGAAGAGCATGAACTTACTTTCTTGTAGACCTTTCTGGAGCTCTTGGTGTCGAGGTCAGTCCTTCGTTTCATTATGGTTATTTCGCGTAAAAGTTTTAATTTATTTCTATTTTTAATTTTTTAACCGGGGTTTTGGGGTTTTGGGGTTTTGGGGTTTTGGGG